TCATTCGATCGTATTCATCATCAATGTTGTCAATGATGTCATCTTCCCATGTTGCCACAACAGATCCAAAGAGCTCCCAGTTGGTGGTCATTCTGGGAGTTCTTTTCTTAAACTTTGCATTCTTTTCTCCGTGTTCTGTGAGGTAGAATTTTGCACGAAGGAGACAGTGGTCCAATTCCGTTTGGAATTTTGGGACAGCAGCAACATCGGTTAGGCAAAACTGCCAATTGAATATGATGTGGTCTATTTCATTGTGGAACCATCCACCGGGAGACTCCCATGTCCAATGTTTAGATTCAGCCTTTTGGAACTGTGAGTTACCATGGAAGGTCTTGGTTGACATGATGAACTCAGACAGTCTGTCACCCTGTTTGTTCCATTCTAGGCCATGGGACCCGATGTGGAGTTCATCGGCTGATCTTCTTGGTCCTATCTTGGAATTAAAATCACCGACAATGATCTTGTAGAAGGTGTAATCTTCTTTATAGAACTTCTCCAACTCCATGTAGAACTTCTCAATTTCTCTTTCACCATAATTGGATATTGGTGCATAGACAACAAAGATAGAAACTGCTGGCAGTGAGCCACATCTATTCAAGTGTAATCATCTGATTTGGGTTGTTAGGCATTCGAATGAATCAATACTCATGGCAAAGTTTGTGTTGACAAGGATACCGACACCACCAACGCCTCTTTTGTCACATGTTCCAAGGAACAGTTCTTCTCCAGTGTCGAAAACAGCGTGATGTGATTGATGTCTTCTCGTTTCAATCAGACCAATGATGTTGTACTTGATCTTTCGTGCTTGTACCATCAGGTCCTCGATGGATGCATCAGATGCCAGCATACATGCATTAAAAGTACAGACAATCATTTTTGTCTTTCTTCGTTTTGGCAGCCTATTTCTGCCTTGGGATTTTATCAGCCTCTCCTTCCACATTCTTCTCGACTCTGCCGTATTCAGGGTCAGGGGAATGAGATCCATTTTTTTTACTGGATTTAGCATAACAAATAGACCACAGATAGCTTGCCAGGCTCTGCTGTGTGGGTGGGATATTTAAGGTACCCTGAAAAATTAAATGAATGTAAATAAAAGGTCCCGGGAGCTTGGTGTGATAATGTCTGGATCCTGGCCATTGTTGGGGTTACACGGCAGTTGGTGGGTGTAACTGTCTAGCTACTGGCAGGTCCAGTCCCAAACCATGCAGCCTTGGAGATCTCAGCCCTGGGTCCCACACACCTGGGTTCCTCTGCCAGTTCTTTTATGCGTGAGGCTCATCCAAGTGTGTGGAGAGTGGTCCCAGCATGACCTTGTCTGGGGCCTGGAGGTCTTCAGCTGTTGGGCCCATATATATTTTTCTTTCATATATATGTTTTTTTATTTTTTATGGGATAGTTTTGGTGCATTTGAATATATATCTAGGAGTGAAATTACTGGATCATATGGTAAATCTATTTTGAATTTTTTAAGAAATCCCTTTCCTTTTCCCTCATTTTATTTAAACACTGTGGTTTACAGAGTTGTTGTATGATCATAATAAATCATGATGATTTATTATAGGCATTCAATATTCTAACCCCAATCTCACCACCACTGTCACCTGCCCTCCACCATTGTCTCCATTTCCCTAACCACCCGTCAAGTCTGCCCCTATAGCAGGCCCACAATAATTTATTTATATTGCTTGTCACCACTAACTGGCCAATTGAATGATCAAAAAATAGTCCAGTAGAAGAAAAATTATGAAAATTGTTGTATCTCACCATAGCACTGTAGCACTGTCTTCCTGTTGTTCATTGATTTGCTTGAGCGGGCACTAGTAACGTCTCCATTGTGAGACTTGTTGTTACTGTTTTTGGCATATCCAATATACCACGGGGAGCTTGCCAGGAGCTGTTGAGCAGGGGCAATACTCTCGGTAGCTTGCCAGGCTCTCAAAGAGGGACAGAGTAATTAAACCTGGTCAGCCTCGTGCAAGGCAAATGTCCTACCCGCTGCCGGCCCGGAACTCACCGTGAGGACATTAAATACCGTCTGAGGGTTTACAAAGATGTTGCTGATAGTGAAACCTTCTGTGTTAAATGTTTCCACTATTGGACATTGGTTGGCTTCTGTGTTACATTTCCATTCAATCTGGTGTGGTACTCCTGGGATGTTTGTGTTGTAGAATTTGGAGATGTTGCTCCAGAAAATCAAGAATGTTTAAGTGGGTAGCCCAGCCAGAGGGATGGTGACTTTGGGACTTCAGTGTGGTTGCTGGGCCTTTGCTAGGGCAGAAGCTGGTCCATCCCCCTCCTGAGATGACCCAAATTAGGAGATTGCTCCGATGTGTCAGCCGGGAATGGGTATCTGAGAAATGTTTGCGGCTAGTTGATCTGTCGAGATTTGTTTAGGAATCTCTTACACAAGACCAGTCGGTGAACTTTCATGTTGGGGGCTGTATCTGTGAGCATGGGTCATGGTCATGGCTGCCGGGGTCCTGGAATTATGGGGAAACTATGCTGTTTTCTGCTTCCCTTACAAACATTAGTACAGTCCTTTACTTTGTCTTTTAGTGAATTTCTGTTCACTTGTCTTACTATCTCTTCTCATTGTTTTTTTTTCCATTTATTTTTATTAGGTTTTTAATGCCTATCACCCTCTTTCTATAATAGTTTAATGTACACATAACCTTCTTTTCTATCATTTAAAATATGCACAATCATTTGTTTTTATTTTGTTTCTTATATATTTAGATCTTGGCATTTTTATGCTATTACGTGATCAGTTTTCTTTGTAGTTCCCCATGCCTTTCTGTTCTAGAAACAGCTCCGGAAAACTAAAATTTTTAATTGATATTTAAAAATGCTTTCCTGTTTTCTTTTTTTTTTCCTGACTCCTCCTCACTATGAAGCATCATCTGAGGCCAAGAGCCATATTAGTTTTTATAACTGTAACCATTCTCTTCACACTTTTTACTGGAAAAATCCATTCTTTAATTTATTTATTTATTTATTTGGCTTTGGGGCTCCACTTGGCAGTTTTCAGGGCTTACTCCTGATTCTGTGCACAGGGGTCAATCCTGGCAGGCTCAGGGGACCAGATGGAATCCTGAGGATTGAACCCAGGTTGGCCACATGCAAGTATCCTACCACTGTGCTCTCCAGCCCCTGAAAAAAAAATCCATGCCTTTGCCATTAGTTTGTGCTATTTTGTTCTACATTAAGTTTGATTACACTGAGATCTCCTTCTAAAATGCCATTTTGTATATATTTTGAAGCCCCACCCACATGGTGTTGTTCAGGGGCTACTAATGGCCTGATACTCAGGCATCACTCCTAGTGGTGCTCAGAACCATAACGTCCTACGATCTGACCCAGGATACCCACATGCAGAGCTGGTAGGTACACTATTTCTCTGGCCCTGTGTTATTTTTCTTCCTTCCTTCCTTCCTTCCTTCCTTCCTTCCTTCCTTCCTTCCTTCCTTGCTCTTTCTCTCTCTCTCTCTCTCTCTCTCTCTTTCTTTCTTTCTTTCTTTCTTTTCTCTTTGATTTTTTTGGGGGGGCCACATCCAGCAGTGCTCAGAGCTAACTCCTGACTCTGTGCTCAGGGGTCACTCCCGGCTGATCTCTGGGGACCATATGGAATGCCAGGGATCAAACCCAGGTCAACTGCATATAAGGCAAGCAGCTTACCTACTGTACCATAAGACATACTCTGTATGCCTAGCCAATCTTGTTCCTTCCAAATACATTTCTTAGTTATTTATTTTTGCCTGGATTTGAGCCTTTAAATTTTTTCTTCTTTGTTGTTATTAAAGTTATTAGAAAACTAATTCATTTATGATCCTTTTCTATATTTACACTCCTTTCACATATCGTATCATCCAGGAAAGTCATCTTACAGATGCACTGAACACACTCTGTTTAGAGGTAAAGTCCCACATGTGACCCCCTTCTATATGCTGCTGAAATTTCTCAGCTTACAAATTGTCACTTCCTGGTCTTAAACCTATTTCCAAAATTCAGAAATGTCTTCTCCCCAAAATGTGGATGGGTTGTAAAAAAATCACTTTATTGAATATTATAATCAAATGTGTAGAAATGAAGTATACTTTTTTTTTAAGAAAGGAAAATCTAAGAAGAAAACTCCACTTAACATTGTATATATCAGTATATAGATAAGTAGGAAAAAATACTTACAGAAGAGGACACTATTATAAACTCAAATATACTTCCTATAATTTCTTTAGATGCTGCTTTTCTTCCACTTTATATCCTTTACACACTTCTTACCAGAAATGTGTAAGAGTATTTAAAAGTTTGGCACAGCCTTTTAAACTTTGTTAGCAAGAATAAATCCAGTAATCACTAATTTCTTCTCAAAAGACTTTCTAACCCATCCTATAATCTGGCAGTATCATTCTTAGAAAAGAGGATTCTATCTATGAAAAAATGCAAGAGGGCAGGGATGAGAGACCTAGTACAAAGGGTAAGGTGCTTCTCTCTAATGTGGCCCAGCCCAGTTTGATCCATGGTCTGGTACCATATGGTCCCTTGAGCAGAGAACTGGGAGTAATTAGTGCCAAGTGTGGTTCTCCCCCACCACCCAAAACCAAAAAGACCAAAAATTTCATTAGGGCACCCACAAACCAAATAAACAAAAGAAACCACATTTTGTAATGTTTGGTGCATTTGGTTGATCTAGAATCAGGAAAGCCAAAACTCCCACTGTAAACAGTTCAATAGGGGCATTTTCCTAGAATTTCATATTGACTCTGTACTGACCTCTAATGCTTGCATTATCAGCAATTAAACAAAAATTAAACGAGTGGGAGAAATAAAAGGGATATAAGTGAGAAACATTAAAAGATTTGTCCAGAGTCTTATGTTGAGATGCATATAGAAGGAGCACAAGAATTTCTGGTCTGATTCCTGAGCAGGGGTCTTCCTGTGAAGTACATACTGGAGGCTTTCACTCTTCTCCACCTTCATACCTCCCCTACCCCATTTTGCTCTACCTGGTTGCTGACAGGCTTATATTTGAGTCCCGGCTTGTTTAGGATGAGTTCCAGCTGTCTGCGGTTAAAATTGGAGACTCCCAGGGATTTCACCAAGCCAGCATCTTTACATGCTTCTAAAGCCTGTAGAATATATGCCAAGGAATAAAGAAAGAAACATCAAATAAAGCACAAAAACTTGTTTTCAAAAATCTATTATTTCTTTGATGAGGAAAGTCCCTGGTCATGTTAATAAACATTCTGTGAAGAAAAGAAAAGGTGAGGGAGACAGGTAGGAATTCTGAAGGTTTGGGAAATATTGTAGATTATACTAATATTTTCACATTATGCTGAAGCAAACTACTTTAAATTTATTGACATCTTATTTTCTTTTCATTAATTATTTTCCTTATGGGGATTACACTCAGGGCCTCACACAAATGGAAGCATAGACTGCCAACAAACCATTCTCCAAATGACAATGTTAAGTTTTTCTTTATAGCATTGTACCTGATTAATTTTTTAAATGTCTGGACCTTGTAAAAAATGACTTTGGGGACTACACCCAGCCTACTCTGAAGGATCACTCTTGGCAGGATCCTTAGGATCCTGTGGCGTCAGGATTAATCCATCCTAGAAAACATGCATGCTAGTCTTTTGAGCCATTCGCCTGGCCCTCCTATTCTGGAAGTAAATAGTTCTCATACTTATGTGTCTAATTATACATACATACATATATCTAAAATTAGGTCTAGCTTTTATTGGTTTCTAAGTTAATGAAATTTGTCAGAAACCTCCAACCATAATCATAGATTTATCAGTATATTTCTCTATTCTATTTTTTTGCCTTATATATTTTGTAGATATTTTATTTGGCACATATCTGTTTTAAATTGCTAAATACTTCTGGTAAATTGAATCTTTCAGCAATATGTTATTTGTCCTTCCCTATCATTTTTTGAGTCAGTTTTTCAATTGTCTTTGAGATTTTTTATTGAAATTACATAGAATGTATAGATCAATGGTGAAGGATTAATATCTTTTTTCCTTTTTCTTTTGAGTGTCTGCATTTTTTATTTAATCACTGTGAGATACATTTACAACCTTTCATGTTTGAGTCTCAATCATACAATGATCAAACACCCATCCCTCCACCAGTGCACTTTCTCCACCACCAATGTCCCCATTATACCCCCTCTTTCCATCCCTCCCCCTTCCTCCATGGCAGACAATTTCCCCCATGCTCTCTCTCTACTTTAGGGCATTATGGTTTGCAACACAGATTCTGAGAGGCTATCAAGTTTTGTCCTTTATCTACTTTAAGCACACATCTTCCATCCTGACCGATTCCTCCAACCATCATTGTCTTAGTGATCCATTCTCTATTCCAGTTGCCTTCTCCCCCAGCTCATGGGAACAGGCTTCTAAATATGGGGCAATATTCCTGACCCTTATGTCTACTCTCCTTGGGTGTCAGTCCTATATTATGTTATTTTATATTCCACAAATGAGTGTAGTTCTTCTATGTCTGTCCCTCTCTTTCTGACTCATTTCACTTAGCATGATACTCTCCATGGCCAGAGGATTAATATCTTAATGCTTTATAGTCTTTTTATTAAAAATAGTATATTTATCTCTTAAGAGTTTTTTTTTTAAATCACTCCTGGTAGTTCCCAGGGGACCATATTTTGTGCTAGGGATTGAACGCAGATTAGCTACATGTAAGTCTTATGTACTGTATTGGTTCTAGATCATATGTATTACATGGGTAATGCCTGGGTTTTATCAAGAAACACACACACAAAATTTTGTCTATTTAGTGGATGTAAATTAATAAAAATTTAAAACCTCTTAATTTATTTGATCACCTAATCAATATAATAAAGTCACTATCTGTGCCTCATTATCTTATTTATTTAAACTTTATTTGATGACAAGTCTGATTGTCTGCATTTTTTCAAGCTACCATTTGTCAGTCGTCTTTTTGTGGTTATCTCTCTCTTGGTGTTCCTCTCACAATCATGGAGGTGCTGAACCAGTCGACCGTATTCCTCGTCAATGTTGCCAACAACGGCATCTTCCCATGTTGCAGCATTAGTGCCAAAGAGCTTCCAGTTGGTGATCGTTCTGGGAGTTCTCTTCTTAAACTTTGCAGCCCTTTCTCCCCACTCTGTGAAGTAGAATTTTGCACAAAAGAGACAGTGGTCCGATCCCATTTAGAATTTTGGGACAACAGCGTCATTGATCAGGCAAAACCGTCAATTGAATATGATATGGTCTATTTCGTTGTGGAACTGTCCACCGGGAGACTTCCATGTCTAATTTTTAGATTCTGCCTTCTGGAACTGTGAGTTACCACGGATGGTCTTGATCAACATGATGAACTCAGTCTCTCATGCTGTTCGTTCCATTCTAGGCCTTGGGTCTCGATGTGGAGTTCTTCAGCTGATCTTCTCGGTCCTATCTTGGCATTAAAATCAACCACAATGATCTTGTAGAAGGTGTGGTCTTCTTTATAGAACTTCTCCAGCTCCATGTAGAACTTCTCAATTTCTCCTTCATCATAATTGGATGTTGGTGCATAGACAACGAAGATAGAAACTGCCGGCAGTGAGCCACATCAATTCAAGTGTAAATGTCCAATTCGGGTTGTTAGGCATTCGAATGAATCAATGCTCACGGCCAAGTTCGTGTTGACAAGGACACCAATGCCTCTGATGCCTCTTTTATCACATGTTCCAAGGAACAATTCTTCTCCAGTGTCGAAAATGACATGATGTGATTGATGCCTTCTTGTCTCAGTCAGACCAATGATGTTGTACTTGATCTTTTGCGCTTGTACCATCAGGTCCTTGATGGATGCATCCGATGCTAGCATATGTGTATCGAAAGTACAGACGATCATTTTTGTCTTCCTTCATTTTGGCAGCCTAGTTCGGCCTTGAGATTTTATTAGCCTCTTCTTCCTCAACCTTCTCAACGCTGCCATATTGGTGACACTTTCAGGGTCAGGGGAATGAGACCCATTGTAATACTGGTTTTGGCATATTGAATACACAACGGATAGCTTGCAAGGCTCTGCCGTGCAGGCGGAATACTCTCGGTAGCTTGCCAGGTTCACAAAAAGTCGACTGTCTTCGAAAACTCTTGAGCTTATTCGCCAACGTGGTTTGGCAAATGCCTCAGGCAACCGCAAGCAAAAGTCTGAGCTCGCAAAGCAGTGCAGAGATGCAATCAAGAAAGACCTCAAAGAGAGAAGAATAGAAGTATTGGTAGATGAGGCAGAAGCCGGGAAAAGCATTCATAACACCCGCCTGTCCTTTGCCAACTACAAGACCAAGATGACTGCCCTCCGACATCCTGATGGATCTATCACATCTTCCAGAAGGGCAATGGAGAAGATTATTCATGACTTCTACTCAGATCTCATCGATAGCCATGTCCACCTGCCCACATGCCAAATTCCAGGATGGATATGTCGTTCCCAATGTTCTCCCTTCCAAAATCTGACACGCCATTTCGTCAGTAAAGAAGCAAACAGCACCCGGCCCAGACAAGGTCAGACCTGAACACCTGAAGAACCTGCCATCAGTACTCATCAATACGCTGGCTCAGCTCTTCGCACACTACCTGTCTGAATGCAAGGTTCCATCCCAGTGGAAAACCAGCAGGACTGTACTACTGTACAAGAAGGGAGACATCCACGACATTGGCAACTATCTCCCGATCTGCCTATTGTCTGTCATCTACAAGTTGTTCACTCGAGTCATCCTGAATAGGATTAGCAGAACACTAGATGAAGGACAACCATGCAAGCAAGCCGGGTTCTGCAAATAATTCAGCACCATCGACCATATCCACACGATAACCAAGCTCATTGAGGTTTCTCAGGAGTTCAAGATGCTGCTCTGTTTAACGTTCATTGATTTAAAGAAGGCCTTTGATTCTGTTGAGACAGAAGCAGTCGAAGAAGCCCTAGCCAATCATGGCATTCAAGTTCAATACATCAGGATCCTCTGTGAGCTGTATTACGGATTCACTACCGGGATCTCACCATTCTACAAAGAAGTAATCATTGATGTCGAGAGAGGGGTTCGGCAGGGTGATACCATTTCAACGAAAGTCTTTAGTGCCACCCTCGAGAACATCATGCGATGACTGGAATGGGAAGGAATGGGAGTGAAGATAGATGGTTGGCAACTACACCACCTTCGCTTTGCTGATGACATTATTCTAATAACACCAAACATCAGCCAAGCAGCACAAATGCTGACCGACTTCAACCGTGAGTGTGGAAAGGTAGGACTACAGCTGAATATTATGAAGACAATGTTTATGAGAAACAGCCTCGTTCCTGATGCCCCATTCACTCTAAATGGAAAGACCATCTCAGAATGCAACAGTTATGTGTACCTAGGTCGAGAAGTCAACATGACAAATGACCTGGCACCCGAGCTGCGCAGGAGGAAGAGAGCGGCTTGGAACGCCTTCAAGAGTGTTGAAGAAATAGCTAAGAGGACGAAGTACCTCCAGCTCCGGGCACATCTCTTTGATTCCACTGTTCTTACTGCATTAACATATGCCTCAGAGACCTGGGCCCTACACAAATAGGATGAGAATGCTATATGGGTCTCCCAAAGAGGAATTGAAAGAGCTATGCTTGGAGTATCACGTTTCACTCAAATGAGAGAAAGAATCTGGAGTTTCGACCTCCCTCGACGATCAAGAATCAGGGACGCTGTCTCATTTGCCAAGGTATCAAAAATCAGATGGGCTGGTCACGTAATGAGATTTAGAGACGACCACTGGACTAGAGCCGTTACCGACTGGATTCCATGGGATGTCAAAAGACCGCGTAGGTCAGACTTCTTCATCAAGATCATGAACGATCGGTTTGAGGCTCTTCGTGTTCCTAGAACGAACAGATGCCATTGGGCTACACTAGCATGCGACAGGGACAAATGGAGACGTTACTGGTGCCCGCTCGAGCAAATCAACGATTAACGGAAGTCAAGTGATCAAGTGATTAATCTACTTTATCTCCTCTGTTGGCTTGTTTGCTATACTCTGGAAACTTTAACAGTTTCCCTTTAATAGTCTATCATTTTGCTTAATACATTTAGTTGTGATTCTTGATAACTTCTTTTTAATACTCCATGCTCTTTAAATACATCTGTTTTTCCCCCTTCAAATGCTGTTTTTTCTGAGACTTTTATTATGTAGATAATTTCAACTCTAATTTTATCTTTCATATCTATTGCCTTTCCTTTCATATTTGGCCATGGTGCCAATGCAGGTAGCTATGTGGGTGGAGGTCACATATCAGGTTGGAATGCTCGAACCCCCCACGGTGCTTCCCCAGGATCTGTATGTTCTGCAGCTGGCATACGTGTTTGTGAGAGGTCACACAACTTAGTCGAGGTGCTTACACAATGTCAGGGACCTCACTTCCTGGGTGAGCACTGCAACACACTTATCTCTTGGTTGTGTTGTTTGCCAGGAATTGTACCCTTTTCGTGGTGATGCTCAGACACACACTGGCTGTGATGCACCCAGAAATTTCTTGGGGCTCCAGAGATGACCACTACAGACCTGCCAGGATCATACGTGGCCACACAGCAGCACCAGACATAAAATTCACAGCCTCACATTTGCCATGCAGGCTCCCAAAAACACAGAGTTAGATTTAGACCCTCCCAAGCTGCTGCTTTCCTTTCTTACAGGAAGTACATGAGTAAAGTTTGTAGCTGTCTTTAGGTCAGATGGAAATAATCAGATCACACTTTTAAAAAAATTTAGTCTTTTATGGACCGAACATGATTGCCACTCAATGCCTCTTTTGCAGACCACAACACCCAGGAGAGAGAGAACAAAAGGGAATTCCCTGCCACAGAGGCAGGGTGGGATGGGGGGGATGGGGGTGGGAGGAATACTGGGATCCATGGTGGTGGAAAATGGGCAGTGGTGGAGGGATGGGTATTTGATCATTGCATATCGAAACCAAGCACAAAAATTTGTAAGTCTACAACTGTACCTCATGGTGTTTCACTAATAAAAATTATTAGAAAAAATTTTAGTCTTTTAAAATAAGAGTTCCACTTGAGCTTACCTCCCAAGTGGCACAGAGATCAGTAGGGTGAAATAACCATTGGCCATTTTCATCTTTAGGATAAAAATCATCTCCAGGCTGAAAGGCAAAACAAACAAACAAAAAGTGGTAAAGGTAATTGATTTCATTTCAGTGAATTAAAATTATGGAATGAGCTGTCAGTGTATCTGGGAAGGCAATTCAGACTTAAGTGCATTTTCAAAGGACTATCCAGTCATTCTTTGATTTAATACAACAGTTGTGACACAACAATCTCATGATCCCACACTCTGGCATGGATTTTCATTTACCCAGACTTGTTGTTCTGAAGCTGTGAATTTACCTTACTTTTCTGTTGTTAAAGATTTTTGGGGGGCCTGGGGAAGAACAGTATCAGAATCAAATTCAGCCTCTTCACATATGTGAAGGTACTCTATACCCCCAGGTGTAAATTTCTCACTTAGTGACAAATTTACTTACAACAGAAAGAAGTTGGGAAGTGAAACTTTTGGACTCAGCGTTTTGATTTTTACCCTTTTCAAAGCCAAGGAAAGAAAATTTCTTACTATCTTTTATTTATTATTTTTTGAGGAAATACTGGGGATGAAACAAGGGCTCATGCATATAAAACAATCACTTTATTGGTGAGCCCCATCCCATTCCCTGAAAATTTCTTACTATCAAATATATCAGAGATTGGACAATGACGATAAGAGGGAATCCTACAAAGGCTGGAGCCATAGTACAGGAGTGAGGGCACTTGCCTTGCACGCGGCCGACCCGGGTTTGATTCCTAGCATCCCACATGGTCCCCTGAGCACCGCCAAGAGTAATTCCTGAGTGCAGAGCCAGGAGTAACCCCTGAGCATCACCGGGAATGACCCAAAAAGCAAAATAAACACTGTCTAAACAAACACTGTTCTCCCGTTGTTCATCAATTTGCTGGAGCAGGACCAGAAACATCTCCATTTTGAGATTTGTTGTTACTGTGTTTGGCATGTCAAATACATCACAGATAGCTTGCCAGGCTTTGCTGTGTGGGCAAGATACTCTCAGTAGCTTGCCGGGCTCTCTGAGAGGGGCAGAGGAAACGAACCGGGCTGGCTGCGCACAAGGCAAACACCCTACCACTGTGCTATGACCCAAAAGGCAAAATTAAATTAAATTTTTAAAAAATTATATATATAAAAAGAGGGAATCCTTCAGCTAAGAAAAGTGTAGTTCATGACTGGAAGGCTCCCTGAGTCAAGGAAACTGCTTTCTACCTCTCTACCTCTCAGTTCTAGCAAGTTTGTAGCATGACTTATTTTCTTTTCCTTCTGGGTCCTCCAGAATCTCAGCGTCTACTTTTTCTCCCTTATGGTTTATTATCTCCCTTCTCTCCTTTTTTTGGTTATACTTTCTTGAAACTAAACACTTTCTTTATGATTTGCCCCCTCTTCCCATCCACTTACCCCTATATCTGAAGATAGGACCCATCTCTTATGGGCATAGAAATGAAATAGAAAGAAAGAAAAGATGATTTGGGGAGTAGAAAGTAGTAACCATTTCCTGAGCTTGGGAGTATAGCTTTATTCCAAATATATTTGGACTAAGAATCAGAATTCCATTTTGGACATTGGGTACTGAATATGAAATGATCATTAGATATTCAGGTGGATATTTGGAGGGACAGAAGGAATTGAAAATACAATATTGAAAACATCTTAGACACAGGTTCAGAGAGAAGTCATAATTTCAAACAAAAACATTAGGCATATTAAATGGTTTTTGTGGAACCTTCTTTGAACGAAACAGAAGCCATGTCATCTCTGTCTCATATGAGAACCCTGGGTGAGTTACTGTGTGTAGAAAATCTACAGTCAGAATCAACTATCTATCTTCTTATCACAACTGGAATAACAGTCAACTGATATAGTCTTATTGATGACTAGGGGGAAAACAGAAACTTCTGATTGTTACAAAAGACCCCAGCCACACTACTGCCTTCTGTCTGAAGACTCTGGTCTACTAATCCAAAAATTTCATATAACCTCAAAATTTAGACTGCTCTCCTGCTTAGTCTTTTAAAATTTCCCTATGGAAGGGAGGTGGGTACACTGGTGATGAGTATCGTATTGGGATTATGTACATGGGAGGCTATCATTATTATAAATCACAGTACCTCAATAAATTAAATTAAAGTAATGCTTCACTCTCTTTGTTAGTATTAGCATAAATTCCCAGACAAAAGAACCAGGGCCTCATACTTTGCAACTCTCTACATCCTTTTACAAAATTGTGAATTACAAAAACCTGTTACCCTATTATTCAACAGAGTGTTGAGGCTCCTTGCTCAGCAATTAAGCAAGAGAGAGGAATTCAAATTGGACTAGAAGTTAAATTATCACTATTTTCAGATAACATCATTTCGTACTTAGAGAACCAAGAAGACTCTAGCAAAGAACTCCTATAGGCAAACTCATACAGTCAAGTAGCAGGCTACAAAATAAATTCACAGAAATCTGTGGTATTTCTGTATTCAATAAGAGAGTGAAGGAGAGAGAGAGAGAGAGAGATCTCATTCACAAATATGCCAGTTCAAACTCTTTGCTACATATAACTATCAAAAGATTAGTCAGTAATAGGTATGTGATCCAAACAAGGCTAATTATTACTGCCTAAGAGATCTAGACAGTACTAAATTCTTTTGTTTTATTTGTTGTGGGACCACACCTTCAATGTTCAGAGTTTACTCCTGGCTCTGTGTGTCAGGGATCAATCCTAGTAGTGTTCAAAGAGCCATATGGAGTTCCAGAGATTGGAACAGAACCAGGGTCAGCCATGCCCAAGGCAAGAGCCCTACCCACTGTACTTTCTCCCCAGATCCTCTCTGAATTCTTAAATAACTTTGATGATAGAGGTTTGGAGTGTCAATAACCATTGTGTCATCACATGGAGAGATATTTTTGCAAGTGTATTCAACCAAAATAGGGACAAAGAGAAATGGACAGAATGCTCATGCTATATAATTCAATTTCTGAATTTATTTGTGCATGAATTATGTATCTCTTGGAATTATTAATTAGCATCTTTAGCTAATGTCAGTTTAAGTTTGAATTATTCCATTTATGATGAGAGACCTGATTAATAAAGAGGTATTGGGGTATCAAATAATGGACTAACCATGAGAAATTAAATCAAATAGATTGTGAACAATGAGGATTTTCCCACTTTCAGTTGAGAATCAGCAGATTTTGCTGTATAATTGCAAGGAGTCTAGTTAAATGGTTGTTTTGATCTATCTTGAGACTTAGACAATGGACCTATGAAGAGTGGAGTAGGAAAACATTGACTGTTAGAATTCATATTACCTGATCTTGGTACAGGGCTAGAGCGATAGCACAGCAGGTAGGGTGTTTGTCTTGCATACAGCTGACCCCGGTTTGATTCCTCCACTCCTCTTGGAGAGCCTGGCAAGCTATGAGAGTATCTCGCCCACAGGACAAAGTCTGGCAAGCTACCCCTGATGTTGATATGCCAAAAACCGTAATAACAAGTCTCACAATTTGTTGTGAGACGTTACTGGTGCTCGCTCAAGCAAATTGATGAACAATGGGAGGACAGTGCTACAATGCTACAGTGATCTTGGTACTGACTCCCCAAACCATTTTTGCTTTCTCTTCCTTTAAAGGGCATGTAAAGTAAATTTTACATTGCACATATTCATTTACATTATGTTGTACAAGGACATTTCCATAACTATTTGATAGGAGAAAGTGTTTATCTGGGTGTTGGGAAACTAACAAGTAGACCACCGTTGGGGAATTGCATGATGGTTTGATAAAAAGAGTTTACGCTATAACTAAGACACTTGAAATTCAGGTAATTTGTTTGGTTTTTTTTGTTTGTTTGGGGCTACACTTGGCATTGCTCATGGGTTACTCTTGGCTCTGTACTCAGGAATTACTCCTGGTAGTTCTAGGGGATCATTTGGACCAAGTGAGATTCTGGGGTGATGGAAATTTATGGTATGTATCTTTGATTTTTTTAATTTATTTATAACATGTACTCTTAGTGGGTAAAAACTGTAAAGATGCCCACCCTGTCTGCAAATGGAATGAACTTCCCTGTTCCAAGCTAAGAAAATGCTGATTTTAGGAAACTTTCTGTGGTCATAGTGATAAGGTGTCTAGATGCAGTGTACCTCACCTCTCTTCCTGCCCCCCCCCCCCCGCCCCGCATTGCCTAAGCATGAAGTAAAGGAATGATGAGTTAGCAGTAATGCTAATTTTGTTTAAGGTGTCAAGGGCTTGCTTACCCTAGACACACACTGCTCAACTGGTGTAAATAAAAACCTCCTTGTTATCTTGCTATAGATTGTCTTGGTGTGCTTAGTCAAGTGAATATCTGTTAAAATAGGGAAATCTAACCCAGGTTGCAAGACAAGCACCCTATCTGTTGTACTATCTCTCCAGCCTTGTGAATTCAATCATGAATCTATTACATATAATCTTTTTTTTCCCCTTTTGGGTCACACCTGGCAATGCTCAGGGGTTACTCCTGGGTCATGCACTCAGGAATCACTCCTGGCAGTGCTCAGAACCATATAGGAACCATATGGGATGCTGGGAATCGAACCTCGTTCAGTCACGTGCAAGGCAAATGCCCTACCCACTATGCTATTGCTCCAGCCCCCACATAATCTTTCTGTGAATTTTTTGGGCTAGATTAATACTATATGATCAATGGTAACAAAACACATTCTATGATATTATGCAATGAACTATCTTCATACACACAGCTAGGGCAAAGATCAAACATCAGAAGTTCATTCTTCACACATCCAAACTCACCTTAAAAGCCATTGGTAGTTCAATGATATAAAGATCCACGTAGTCTACCTGGAGACATTTGAGTGTCCTTTCTAGGTATGGACGAACCATCACTGGCTCTAAATGTGTACACCACAACTGAAAGAATAAAAGTAAACTGACATTTACACTTATTTGCACAAGAATGTAGACCTTTAATTATTTTCAAAGTAGTCATAAATATTTGATGTGCTCTTTAAACTTCCCCAAAGTATGGCATGCATAGTTTCTTTTTTGCTTCGCTTTTCTATTTTTCTTTTTGCAGTGTTACCTTAGTATAAGATGAACCAATGTAACTATTAGCATCAGAGTATAGCTTTATCAAGATATTGTACATTAACTTAAAGATTACTTGAACCAAAGAGCACCTAATACAGTGATGGTCTCTTTCTGCCCAGTGTTAATCTCATTACTCATCCTCTCCACTTTCTTATCTCCTCTTCCTGTGTCTAGGAAACATATGTCTGTCTAATTGTTCTGACCTAGCCTGTTGCTGCTTGGTTTTTATATTAGAAAAAATATAAAAGCCTGTTGCTTAATCTGGGCCAGAATTCTAGTTGTATATGTGACTTAAGTGGATTCTTCCTACTGTTACAGGTGGTGCAGATGTTGGGTATACTTTGTTGTGTTTATTTGGTTTGGGGCCACACCCAGTGGTGCTCAGGACTTCCTCCAGTTGTTGTGCCTGAGTTTCAGAACCCTAATTGCAGAAAGACCAAGTCCACACACGATAATGCAAAAGCAAAGGACCTTTATTACTAGCCCGAGCCAGTGCTAGCTCGAGCTAGGGTCCAAGTCTCATCCAATGCAGTGGAGTCTTGACAAAGACCCCGCTTCCAAATCACAAGCAGTGTCTATAAGGTTCAGAGTTAAGAGGCAATTTATATACTGGTCTATTTTTTATCATCGGCCCTATTACAACAGTGGTCAGGAATTAGACAATGGTTACTAACAGTTTCTAAGGAGGGTAAAGTGACCCTCATGACCGGCCAGACCTAACTGCCCAATTTCTTTTTTTTTTTTGTAAAAGAACTTTTAATATTTCCCATAAATCGATGATCAACGGGAGAGCCCATAATATACAATGTTTTTTTTTTAATTTTTTTTTTACAGTTGTAGATTTACAATTTTTTGTGCTTGGGTTTCAATTATACAATGATCAGATACCCATCCCTCCACCAGTGCCCGTTTTTCACCACCATGGATAATATCCCTCCCACCCCCATCCCCCATCCCCCCCTGCCTCTGTGGCAGGGCAATCCCCTGTGTTCTCTCTCTCCATTTGACTGCCCAATTTCTTATCTCAGCAAATTACTCAATTGGGAGTCTACCAGAAACTGCAAGTCCTGCTTTGGAGAAACAAAAACGGAGGCCTAACTGAGACTTCATGTTGGCTACATCTTGTCATGGCATCGGTTTCACCCTCGCACTGACTCTGCACTCAGGGATCACTCCTGATGGAGCTCTGGGGGTGTGTGGATTGGACTGAAGTCGGCTGCGTGCAAGGCCAATGTCCTACCCGCTTACTATCTCTCTGGCCCCAAAGACATGTTTAAATCAAACAAAAATCAAATAATTACATAAATACATTTTCCTGTATTTTATTCAAAAATAGTTTCAGAAAAGCCTATTTCAATGTAAATACAAAACCAGTCACATAAATATATTTCTCTACCTTTTATTCAAGGACAGTTTCACTAAAATCAAAGTGAAGCCAATGTCTTTAAGTTGAGTTAGGGGAATCCCTGGTTGGTATATATGGTGACTTTGTAGTGGTAAAATATGTGCTTCTGATCTCTATATATGATAAAAGGGAAACATCTAAAAGCAAAAGATGAATTAAATTGTACTAGACGATTTATTCAAGTGATATAATTTAAAAACTGGTTGAGTTACTCAGATGAACTGAGTTTCCCATAATTATTTGTTAAAGTTAACGGTTTTGTTATTTTTATTAATGTGGGCCCAATATAGTCATATGTAACTGTACACCCAGATTTGTCACAATAAAGGAGAAGGATAAAGAAATGGTGAATAAGCAAATTGTGCACTTTAATGATAAAGAATGATGAGAGGGTATTGATCCTTCTCAAGCCTTTGGACTGTAAACTCTTTTCATTGAATTAGACCAACCCATTGCACTAAAAATAAAATCTGAGATTCAGATAGAAGAAATGATTATTAGCATTATGAGTTGGTTGAGATGTATTATTTATTTTATATGATAAAATTATAATAGAGTTAAAATAAGGACATCCCAGTCACATTTCAGGGGTGACGAAGGTTAAGGAAACTTTCAAGTGTTTTTTTTTTTTAATTTTTATTAGTGAAATACCATGAGGTACAGTTGTAGACTTACAAATTTTTGTGCTTGGGCTTCAGTTATACAATGATCGAGTCCCAGGCCCAAGAACTGCATCTACAATTCCATCAATCACAGGGTGTTTAATGAAAGGGCCTGAGGGTGCAATGCTGCTTGGTTCCTGCAAATCTGGGAATACCAGAGGCATCTTTGGGTGCTGAAGCCCTCCAGAGATGCATCTGGTAAGACTTTGGGGACCATAAAATGCCAGAAATCAAGCCCACATCTCCAAGAGTCTAAGTATGCACTTCACATTTTTGAGCTGTCTCTTTGATTTCAAGACATATGCCTTTTTAACAACAACAACAACAAATCTCAAGAGAGATTTTCTTGAAGTTGGAGATAGATAAGCAGATTAAAGAATTTATGAAGCTGCTATCTTATAAATCATGGGATAAAAATTAAAACTGTAATCTTAACATCACCTGAGAACAATATACTCTGTCACCACTGTAGACAATATTCAGAGCATTTTTGTTCCCTAGGAGTCAAATAAAGCTTATAAAACAGTGAGGGAAAGTCACAAAATCATAAATATACTTCTGTGTGCTGAATTCTTCATATTAGTCTTCTGAGAAATAAGAAATCTAGCTTGTACATTAGATATTAGATTGTAGTCCAAGTCTTTCCGGTTGGATTCAAGTTTTCCAACATGACAGATACTGCAACAACTGTTTGATAGAAAGGCAATTTTTCAAATGAATCTCTCTTGGTGGTACTTCATTTCAAAACCAACTTTAAACCATGTTTTTTCTTTGAAAAATACATATAAAAATGCAAAAGTATTTCTAAGAAAAAGATAAAATAGTGCTTAATATCTTGGTAAGAGTGAAGACTTTGGGAGTTGAGAATTCACTCGTCTTGGTAAGTCTAACATCACAGCCCTCTATGTTATCTCCTTAACCTGAGTACAACATTCCTTAGCAGAGAATGACACTAAATCAACCATCCAGGTGAGAGAAAGGGAAGCACTCACCTTTCCACAGTAGAAAAGATCCTCTCTCTGGAGCATTCCTTCTCTTATCTTCTCCTTGAAGGCCTGGCCTACTTCATGTTCATTGCGATAGAGGTAGGCCCCATCAAAATGCCGGTACCCTAAATCAAGAGCCATCTTCACTGCTGTCAGGCAGGACCCTGCAGGGGTCTGAAATGATAATGGTGATTAGTGGAGAAGAGAATTAGGTCTTTGCTCTTTTTCATTGTTATTATTATTATTATTATTTATTTATTTACTGTCACTGTCCTCCCATTGTTCATCAATTTGCTCAAGTGGGCCCAGTAATGTCTCCATTGTGATACTTGTTACTATGTTTGGCATATCGAATATGTCACAGGTAGCTTGCCAGGCTTTGCTGTGCAGGAGAAATACTCTCGGTAGCTTGCCGGGCTCTCTGAGAGGGGCGGAGGAATCGAACTCGGGCGGATCATGTTGGCTGCATGCAAGGCAAATGCCCTACCCGCTATGCTATCGCTCCAGTCCATTATTATTATTATTGTTATTATTATTTTACTTCTTGTGGAGGTATATCTAGCAGTGCCCAGGGTTTTCTTCTGGCTCTGCTCTCAAGGATTGTGCTGGTGGTGCTCAGGGATCATATGGTGGTGGCAGAGATCAGCTCCATCTCACTGGACTGTTTCACTGGCCCTTTATCCTTCTTAACCAGGTCACTTGTGAAGGTTAACATTGTTTTGTCCTTTGTCCCTTGCTACAGGAAGCTTAAGTTTAATTGGTTACACCTCTAAGTGCTCCCAAGGCACTCCCATTTCTCTGTTTTTTTTTTTTTTATCTTTAACCTCCTCTTTGTGCTCTGCTTCCCTAACTGGTTAATCACCTTTATCCCCAAATCAGACCTGTAACTTTTAAGGTCAGATTCCTTTAAGGACTCTGAATTCTGTATTTGTAAGTGAAATATCGCTTTTCTTCTTCCCTTAAGTCTTTTACATAGTATACTATCTTTTTTGTATAGACACAGGAAGACAGTTAATGCTATGCTTTTGTAACTTGGCAGTTAATTGACTGAAAAATATTTACTCTTGGGCATCTATCATATGTACTCGACTTAAGCCTCAGTTGCTCTTAGTTCCTAGCACCCCAAAAGCAGTGTCCCATCGATGGGACTGGATGAACCCAGGGCAAGCTGTGAGCTACCCTGACATTGAAAAGGGACAGGCCAAGTGCCATAAAACTTATAATAAGTTAAGAACACGTTCATGGACAAATTCTGTCACGATCCAGAGTAACAACTGGATTAGAACCCTGCTAGGGTTAGGAAAGACTAATGTGGACTGAGCACTGTAGTCTGGGATCTATAGCAAGGTGTCCCCAGGAGAGCCACCCTACAAACTTAATATATCTCTTACTGTGTCCATACAGAAAGATTATTAAGAAGTAACTCGGGCAGCATAAGAGAAGGAACACATGGAGGGTGCGGGAACCACAGATCCCGGAGGGGGAAAAAAAAAAAAAGAAAAAACAGGTTCCAAAAAGAGCCGAGATCACCGGCAAGTTCCAGATGGAGTAGGTGCCGCATCCCGCCTCCCCCAGATGGAACCCCGGTGACCAGAAGCCTCTACAAACACAGCTCGAGTATGCGGGAACGAGGACTTTTTCTCAAAACCGCACGGCCGCTTACGCGGCCGCGCGACATCTCTCTATATACAAAGTGATCAATGAGAAGTAAACCACCCAATCTTTCTCCCTGAAAATCAGAGTTAAGTTTGGAGCATGGCCACAGCCCCAGAAACATAAGGACTTAATGCAGAACCCAGCAGCTTAGAGCAGAAAAGTGAATGGACGATGCGTTAACCCAGGCCATCATTTCTGCCCAGAGGGGAAAGGGTGTTGCCCCATTCGCCCTCTCTTCTCTGGAAAGAAGGATGGCGGCCGCATGGGAGCCTTGTGGACAGCAGGTATGAGCCGGGGGTGTGGGGGGCGACTAAAACCTCACGAGAAGGGGGGCGTTCCGGTCCGTCCTTCACGCCCTACCGAGGTCAACAGTTGTCCCCCACGAGCGGCTCCCCAGCACGGCCACAGTCCCAGAAGCACAAGGACTTAATGCAGAACCCGGCAACTTGGAGCAGAAAAGTGAAAGGACTATGCGTTGATCCAGGCCATCAAGTCTGCCGGAGGGGAAAGGGTGTTGCCCCATTCGCCCTCTCTTCTCTGGAAAGAAGGATGGCGGCCGCATGGGAGCCTTGTGGACAGCAGGTATGAGCCGGGGGAGTGGGGGCGACTAAAACCTCATGGGAAGGGGGGCGTTCCAGTCCGTCCTTCACGCCCTACCGAGGTCACCAGTCACCCCCCACAAGCGGCTCTCCAGCACAGCCACGGCCCCAGAAGCACAAGGACTTAATGCAGAACCCAGCAGCTTGGAGCAGAAAAGTGAACGGACTATGCGTTGACCCAGGCCATCAAGTCTGCCGGAGGGGAAAGGGTGTTGCCCCATTCGCCCTCTCCTCTCTGGAAAGAAAGATGGCGGCTGCATGGGAGCCTTGTGGACAGCAGGTATGAGCCGGGAGTGTGGGGGCGACTAAAACCTCATGGGAAGGGGGGCGTTCCGGTCCGTCCTTCATGCCCTACCGAGGTCACCAGTTGCCCCCCACGAGCGGCTCTCCAGCACGGCCACAGCCCCAGAAGCACAAGGGCTTAATGCAGAACCCAGCAGCTTGGAGCAGAAAAGTGAACGGACTATGCGTTGACCCAGGCCATCAAGTCTGCCGGAGGGGAAAGGGTGTTGCTCCCTTCCGCCCTCCTCCCTCTGGAAAGAAAGATGGCGGCCACATGGGAGCCTTGTGGACAGCAGGTATGAGCCGGGGGTGTGGGGGCGACTAAAACCTCATGGGAAGGGGGGCGTTCCGGTCCGTCCTTCACGCCCTACCGAGGTCACCAGTTGCCCCCCACGAGCGGCTCTCCAGCACAGCCACGGCCCCAGAAGCACAAGGACTTAATGCAGAACCCAGCAGCTTGGAGCAGAAAAGTGAACGGACTATGCATTGATCCAGGCCATCAAGTCTGCCGGAGGGAAAAGGGTGTTGCCCCATTCGCCCTCTCCTCTCTGGAAAGAAAGATGGCGGCCACATGGGAGCCTTGTGGACAGCAGGTATGAGCCAGGAGTGTGGGGGCGACTAAAACCTCATGGGAAGGGGGGCGTTTCGCTCCGCCCTTCACGCCCTACCGAGGTCACCAGTTGCCCCCCACGAGCGGCTCTCCAGCACAGCCACGGCCCCAGAAGCACAATGACCTAATGCAGAACCCAGCAGCTTGGAGCAGAAAAGTGAAAGGACTATGCGTTAATCCAGGCAATCATTTCTGCCCAGAGGGGAAAGGGTGTTGCTCCCTTCCGCCCTCCTCCCTCTGGAAAGAAAGATGGCGGCCACATGGGAGCCTTGTGGACAGCAGGTATGAGCCGGGGGAGTGGGGGCGACTAAAACCTCATGGGAAGGGGGGCGTTCCGGTCCGTCCTTCACGGCCTACCGAGGTCACCAGTCGCCCCCCGCGAGCGGCTCTCCAGCACGGCCATGGCCCCAGAAGCACAAGGACTTAATGCAGAACCCAGCAGCTTGGAGCAGAAAAGTGAATGGACTATGCGTTGATCCAGCCCATCAAGTCTGCTGGAGGGGAAAGGGTGTTGCCCCATTCGCCCTCTCCTCTCTGGAAAGAAAGATGGCGGCCACATGGGAGCCTTGTGGACAGCAGGTATGAGCCGGGAGTGTGGGGGCGACTAAAACCTCATGGGAAGGGGGGCGTTTCGCTCCGCCCTTCACGCCCTACCGAGGGCACCGGTTGCCCCCCGCGAGTGGCTCTCCAGCACGGCCACGACTCCAGAACACAGAAACCAATTTCTTAACTATCTGACTTTCAGTAGAAATACTTCCAGGGTCAATAGGTAAAATAGCAGAAATCCAAAACCAACATTTAATTCTTGAACCCAGCTGTAGAAAGCAAATCACTTCACAATGCTTTTTCAGCATGTCTGATTTGGGGGGGGGGGGGGGGGGGGTAAACTCTAAATAATAGTGGTGAATCTTTTATTGGAACAATGAATCTAATCAAAGCAGATAGAGTGTTAACTAGAATTCATCTGCCTCACAGGGACGGGGAGGGGTGGGGGGTGGGGTTTTATTGGGGTTCTTCATGGTAAAAAATAAGTATTGGTAAAGGGAAATGTGTTTGATATTTGCATGACTGAGACATAAACCTGAAAGCTTTGTAACCTTTCCCACAGTGATTCAATAAATAAATAAAATTAAAAAAAAAAAAAGGTCAAAAAAAAAAAAAGAAGTAACTCGAAGATGATTGTTTATGGACTGAGGAAAGAAGTATTGTCCTTAGATAAAAACATGCCTTGAACAGATCTCCTAACAGGAGGAGATCTTCATCTTAGAAGAGCTTCCCCAGAAAGAAGGGCTTTCATATGTTGATTGTGCTATCTGACTGAGGGGTAGTTACTACTCCCAATGCTTGGAGATTGGGCTCTAGAAGATGGCTGTATGACCAGATAGAGAGAGCACGAGGGAGAGGAGGAATACGGGAGTGAATAGTGAGAATGGAAGGAGGCAGAGAAAGACAAGGTTGGAACAAACTGTGACCGATCACGACTGCTCACCAAACAGTCTGACGGCCCTGTTCCCTCCTTCATGCAGCTGTTGGCAGCAGCTGCAGGCCTGGGTGGGGAAGTGGCTCATGGCAACAGAACCCATGTGGCAGGAGAGAAACCATGCTGCACACTCATTTGTTTTTTAATACACAACTTTGCGTTCACATTATTTCACTGAGTCAAACAATAAATTCCCAAGTCCATGAGGTGGTAATTGCAAGATGGTGTCTGTCCAGAGACCAGAGAAACTGCCCCTTGGGGGACCTCCAGCTCATTAGCAGGGGACTCCATCACACACAGCCCTTGGCTATGAGGCCTTAGGAAGGGGATACTAGTTTTACTAGTCCGATATTAACGACATGGAAACCATAAAACCAATCTGTGTGTTTACTGAAGGGCTGCTGCACTCTATCTCTCCTGCTGCTTGCGTTCGTAGTCTCTGCTTCCCCCACCCCAGGGAGGCTGACAGCAATGGGCAGATGAAGGAAGGAACAAGGAAGGAACGAGGGCTAGGCTGGTGGTATCAATTGCAGTTTATTCCAATCTC